TGAACCGCCTCAACAGCCTCTGGCGTAGCTGCCCTCGCCCCGAGGAACAAGACGGGAAACTTTGCGTTCTGGATCATGGACGCCGCCCTACTCAGAGATGCAGATGGTGAAGTGCCATACTCGGGCGGGACGAAGGCCGTCTCAGGGAGCGCAGGAATGGCCGTCTTGGTGCCCGCGGTCATGATATCGATGGGAAGGCTCACTGCAGTCGCGCCTTGGGGGTAGGCTGCTGCAGTGCGGAAGGCGTCCAGCATGATCTCGGCGATCTGGTCGGGATGCACGGCGCCGGTGGCCTTCTTGGTGACGGGCTGGAGGAGCTGGACGCCGCGCAGGCTCTGGTGCGTCTTCTTGGCGGCCTGCACACGCTTGACGTCTCCGACAATGGCCACGACAGGCGCACCCTCGTCGTTGGCGGTGACGAGTCCGGTGACGAGGTTGCTGGTCCCCGGGCCTGAGGTGGCTATGCAGACTCCCGGGCGGCCTGTGATCCTGCCGATGGCGCCGGCGATAAAGGCGGCATTCTGCTCATGGCGGCAGACGACGAGCTTGATCCCCGGGCGGTCGATGAGGGCGTTGAAGACTGAGTCGACCTTGGCGCCGGGGACGCCAAAGATGTGCTTGACGCCGGCAGCGATAAGGGAGTCTATCACGACGTCGACTGTTTCTGTAGACATGGTGAGGGGTATTTAGGGTATACTTTCTTTGCAGAGTGTCAGTGATAGGTGGTGATAAAGATGAGAGCGTAGGAGAACCGAAGCAGCAGCAGGGCTGAAGATGTGTCTCAGGCTGTTTTCATCGAGGCAGAGGGTTATTGCCGCAACAACGTGCCAAGGATGTCGAGAGAGGAATGTTGGGTACGATACGGACTCTCTCACGATGCAGTCGCCAGTGTGGAGAAAACAAAAGCCGCAATAGCCCCTAGCGCGCTCCGTTCGCTCCCGCCGGCATCTCGTTCGTCAGGTCACTCGGTCACCTCATTTTTGTGGAAGGCTTGCTGCTGCTGCTTCTGAAAGCTCCAAAAGCTGCCGGCGATGCCGCAAGCACGTCGAACTGACGTCAGCGCAGCCAGGTGGAACCCAAAGCGCACCTCGCTCAGTGTTATGTTAGTGTCCATACCACTGATAGCTACTGCTGTGAGTAGCTTATCCAGTGACACTGCACGCGTGATGATGACTCAACAAAAACATGCAGCAAATGCAACGCACGATAGGGACTTTCGCTATGGAGCTCCTCCATAATTGTTGAAGAAAGTTCCCCGTGCAAGCCGCGAGACAAGAGGAAAGATCCATCAGAAAGGAAAGGAAAAAGAGAGCAAGTGAGCACACGTTTTTTCTGCAGTCAGCGAATCACCCGTCGTCCAAAGTCAATTAGGACCTCACCACCACCACCACCACCACCACCACCGCGATCTTCTTGTGTCTTAGCTTCGACATCCGAACCTTGGCATCTCATACTTGGCATCACTTACCGAGACAACTTTTCTTTTTGTCTTTTCAAACACCAATCATCACGATGGCGGTCAACGAAATCTACCAGTACTCCATCATCTCGGCCCTGATGGACGGCATCGCCTCCACCGGCCTGCCCGTCTCGGAGCTCATCCAGCACGGCGACCACGGCCTCGGCACCTTCCGCTACATGAACGGCGAGATGATCATCCTCGACGGCAAGCTGTACCAGATGAAGTCCGACAACACCGTCACCGCCGTCGACACCAGCCCCGCCAGCGACGCCGTCGCCCCCTTCGCCATGGTCACCCGCTTCCGCCCCGACACCCGCATCACCGGCGCCTTCGACGACAAGAAGGGCCTCTTCGCCCACCTGTCCGGCCGCCTGCCCGACTCCAAGAACTACTTCCTCGCCATCCGCATCGAGGGCGTCTTCAAGAACGTCACCGTCCGCACAGCCGGCGGCCAGAGCAAGCCCGGCGAGAGCATGCGCGAGGTCGGCGCGAACCAGGCCTCTCACACCTTCAGGGAACCGGTGCGCGGTACTGTCATTGGCTTTCGCTCGCCCGAGTACACACAGGGCATCAGCGTGCCGGGCGACCACATGCACTTCATCACTGAGGACCGCACGCAGGGTGGCCATATCTTGGCCCTTGGCACGGAAGGCGAGGTCGAGATTTCGGCTGCGCTGATTTCTCAGTGGCGGGTTGAGTTGCCGACGAATGACCAGGAGTTTAAGAAGGCGGGGTTGGTGGTTGATGCGGAGGGTATCAACAAGGTCGAGGGCTGATGGCAGATTAGAGACTAGTATAAAGATCCCTTACAATAGAAGTTTTCAGCAAGCATGGAAATTAATTCAAGTTCTACTCAGCTACCTTGCGATTGTGCTCGTGAAATGGTTAGAATATTCACTTCCATTCATGAGTTGATATTGATCAGAAGCAGTTGGTCACATTCACATCAGGACAAGCAAGCAAATGTTTGAAAAAGTGACATATTAATTCATGTACAGAAAAGTTATTGCTGTCGCGTCATCCGCAATGTACAGTTCCCTTCGGTGTCTTGGGGGAAAGAGGGTATGCCATAAATACAAGTTGCGCCATTCTATAGGATATCTCCCGGGACATTGTTCGTCGTGTCCCAAATGCCAATTTTAATCTACCAAGAATCCATGCCGAAAAGTTGCTTCACCCACCCCTTAGTTGGAGGTGTAAGAGCAGCTGTTGGGGACAACAGCCTGGACGGCGCGGACAGAGATGCCGAGGCAGTCGGTGTTACCAGCAGGGTTCGCAACGCCAGAAGAAACCCAGATGGACCAGGCGCCCTCGATGCTGTTGGGGCAGGCGAGGAAGCCGGCGCCGTCGAGGGTGAGGTCGCCGTAGGCGTCGATGGTCCAGCCGGTGCGCTCGCCGTTGCGGGGGGCGGGCTGGGCGCCGGTGGTGTAGCCGAGCTTGCCCTGGCCCATGCCGGAGCGGTCGGCGTAGAGCTGCTGCGGGGTGGCGGAGGCGGCGTAGAGGTAGAGGCCGCCGTCCTGGCCGAGGGTGAAGGTGGCGGACTCGGTGGCGTTGCGCTGGTCGCAGGTGGCGTTCTGGGACGGCAGCTGGAGGAAGATGGAGGACTTGGCGGCCTGGAAGGTGGAGAAGTGCACCGGCGACGCGGAGCGGAGGGCCATCAGCTGGAACTTGGCGTCGGCGGGCAGGGTGTTGTTGGTGGCCGTGCCGTTGGTCGCGGAGAAGGTCGGGAGGCCGGAGACGGCGGCGACGAGGGAGGTGAGAGCGGTGAGGGCCTTGAACTGCATTTTGGCGGTTTGTTGGTGGTTGGTTCTAAAGAAGAAAGGTGTGGGAAAGTTGTGGTTGTGGTGAGTTGATGATGTTCTGGAAAGACTGTAGTGGTCGGAAGATTATCTTTGATTAGATGGTTGGTTGGTGAGTGTGTGTGTGGTGAGGATGGTCTTCTTTCATTCATCAAGGAGGATTCGCCCGTCAGCTTATATACCAACTTGACGATGGCAAAGACTTCTACCTGTTGGCCGGTGTGCCACTTCATTTAGCCAGGGGACTCCCGTTGGCCAGCATTCCCATCTCGTAAACATCGGGGGACCGGCTGCCAGAGGCAAACTGCCACTCAGTGCACAGCACCAGCACTGCCGGGGGCGGCGAAGATCTTCTCGTAATGCCGACCGGGGTCATTTTTTGCGGAGCCCGATTGACATCATGGGCCTCACTTGGTTGACAAAGTGGAGAGCCGGACAAATACGAGAGGAGCCTCACAAGGTAACAAGGGCTGCACCGCTGCAGGGCTCATGTGCGTTGGGCTGCTGAGCTTTCTTGGCGATGAACTGGCTGCCGTCCCAGCCACAGGAAACTGGAGACGGGGAACACACAGAGACCAGCTGAACGGGACAGCCGGTGGCCTCGGAAGCCGCACGCCGCGCGGGGCGCCGATTGGTTCGGTTTGCTCGATTTAGCACCAGACATTCTTTTCTCTGAAGGCCAACGGCCCACGGGACGATTGGAATTGGAGTGGTTGGTTGGTTTGCCGTGGCACTGCAAAGACAGACAGACTGCGCCCCCCAGCCCTCTCTTCTCTCTTGCTGTCAACTCTGTATCCGTAGCGTAGCATCCAGAATTAACAGACACGGTAAGGACGGGCTCTCGCATGTTAGTCCATCCCACACGATTTGCTGCGATTTTCTTAACATAGGGCAGAGACTCGGGCAGTGATGTCACAAACAAACGATCAAAGAGCCCCACGTCCCCTATTTTAGCCAAGAGGGTCCCCTCTCTCGACGCTAGATTAAGGGGGGTAACGTAGCATGCCCAACATGACAACCGCCTCTTTTCTTCTTCTTGCCCGCGGTTTCACTCACGCCAGAGCCAATATCGAACGTCAAGTAAGAGCTGGGGCGAGGCAAGGAGGCAACAGAGTCCAGACGCTAGAATGATCACGGCGTGAGCTAATGCTCTGCTCTACGTGGAACTAACGCGGGCTTCTCCCCTGCGCCCCTGCCCTGTCGTGCCCTGCCTTCTGCCTTTTCTTCGATAACTCCGAACCGGAAAAAACCTTAACTATTAATAGCCCGAGTCACAAAAGCAGGCGGGACCGTCGCCCGACAATCGCTGCGCTTAACGTCCTAGAGTGATTGCTGACCGAATCTTTTTTGCTGTGCAATGCTAGGCAGAGGCTATGTTGTGTTTCCTCCAGTGGCCTAACAAGCGCTGGTCGCGCTCGGCTGACGGCAAGCTTGGAGGCGACTTGCTCCCATGAGTCGTGCGCTTCCTCGGAAACCCGCCAGATCGTCGCTGCGCTACCCGCCAGAACCATTCTACAGGAAACACACCTTTATCGGGGTATCTCAACCCCTAGTGCGGCTGATGGGCGCGAAGTTGGTTTCCTATTCGTTGGGTCGTCCCTATTTTCTAGTGACCCTGCAGCACTCCAAGTATTCACGCCTGTTGTGCGATATGGTCTGATTTGAGCCCCATCAAATACCCTGGGGCCGCCTTCGGACGATCTGCTTGCTGTCCCCAGAACAATTCAAGTTGGGACGGCATGGGGAGAGGGGAGAAGAGGAGGGAATTCCACGGAGGGACCCGTTGGGTATCCCGCGTCTCCAGTTTAACCTCCTCGGCTCCTCCTCACTTTGATATTTATTTTTGTTTTTTTCTTGTCTCTCGGTTTTTTTCGGTGGAGACGAGGTCAACAGAAGACAAGCTCAGGGCGAGTCTGGAATTTTCGAGAAGAACGTTGGACGGTCGGGGGAATTACCCTGCGTGGCATGCCATTGAATCATATTGACGTCTCATTGAAGGACGAATTTTCACACTAGTAGTCATATTATGTGAGCTCCCGCCACCTCGTGTTGTCTCGCCGGTTCTTCGCATTCACCAAGCTAACTAGCCGTCACCGTTGCGATCCACCATCAGAAAGATCGACAGGTCGGTTGCAGCAAACCCCAAAAATAAACCAAACCTTGGGGAGCCCTCTCTCCTCGATAATTTGCGCACCCAACCACATAATTCGCTCACCGAGAAGAGGGCGACGATCAACCACAAAAACCCACCCTCTGGCCGAGATATCCAGACCCAAGATGGAGAGATAAAGCCAGCTGGGGGTTTGCTCCGTAAATTTAGGGCCCAAGAGAAATCTTCTCCTTGTCTGGCCGTCGACAGCAGACACGGACAGCATGATTCAGCAGATCTCGACGATCAGGTCAGCGAGTCAAACGTGCACATCCGCATCTCCAGAACTGCGGGTTGAGCTTATATGCGTTTAGTGTGATCATCCCTACAGCGTTCCTATCATGAAAAACTCTGAATTTTGGGATGAATCCATCAGGGCACAACCAACCTGCTGACCGCCCTCGTCTGATCTCGATGCTTTGTTTTTTTCTGTGTGTAACGGTGGTGTTGTTGGTATAAGACATTGTGATATTCATCCAGCCGAGATTAATACCACCATGCTTTATTAACAGTACCGCCTCCCCGTGCAACACCGCGGCAAGCAGCCAGAAACAAATCCTTCGTTATGCTGGCCAGAAAAGTCGTCTGCACTTTAGCCGGCCATGGGCGACAATATCGAGGAAAATGCAATTGAAGTTTTATCTCTCTAAAAAGCTATCGGTCCAGCGATTTTGAATAATGCTGTTGCGGACTGCGCCTATTGGCTGATGCTAAATCGAGAGAGGTCTATGACTAAGGAAGCCGGTCTACGATCAAGCGGCGCAGCAGGAAGTGGCATGCTGTCGGGCAAACCGCGTCCGATGAGCGGAAGCATGGCTCGCTTGATGAAACCGCCCACCCTGACATCCATTTCCATCGGAGGGAAATCCGGTGCTGCCAAAGTTAGCAGCGGGCGATCCGTGCAGGCTGTCTAAACTGGTCTGCGATTATGCGAGGCCCTTGTGCGTGGGATGCCGTGTCGAAATGCAGGCCTGACAACTGTCGCTGCGCCTATGTTACCGCGGGAGGCAATTCGAGAAATGAAGTAGACGGTGAGAGCAGACGAAGTACAGATCATGCCAGTGACGCGACCGAGTCATTGTCGTGTATGAGTCCTGATGCGATGCGCACTGCTGTGATCGGCCTCCCACTCGTTGGGTCCGGGCCCAAAGTCAAATCCGACGGGTATCCGGACCCTGAATTGTGTCTCTGAGCTACACTGCCTACTCTCTACCAGATATCGTGTGCGAAAAGCAGACAGCTGAACTGAAGAGTACCTTTTGCCGGGACAAACCCCTCTCGTTGACGAGACGAAAATCACCACAGGCGTCGATTCGACCACAAAAGCAATTTGCTTGTCTGGAACGAACACAATGGGCATCACCCACCTGCTTATGTCCATCTCGGAAGCGGTGCAACCCGTGAAAATACTGCACAGAAAACAAAGCAGCACGTCAGGATTCACTGTGACGCTCCTCTTCGGCGTGCTGACGACACAGACGACGATGAAGACCATCAACGCACTCATGAGAATCATTTAATCACAGCGCTAGATTTGACGCGGCTTTCTTGAATTACTTATATCACGAAAGGATCCTCAGCTTTTGTACAGTATCAAGATTCATCCTTCTGTCCTCGGAGATCAGAGTAAGTGATGTCTTGATTTATCTGTAGACTCAACAATAGCATTCAGCTGACCATACTCCCATTGGACTAAAGCTTACGAACAACGCAACGGCACGCTTCAAGCCCCATCTGCTTCGAATACCAATTGTCCTCCTCGAGACTTTACCGTTTCCACGAAGTCCTTAGTAGAAAAGCAGCCCTATTCCGCAGACAACAAATCTCTCCGCCATCCTCGACGATCCGCTTGCAAATCACGCAGATTTTGCTCCTCCAATATCCGATTCTTTGTCGTTTGGGAAAGCAGCCCAAAGCTTTGGGTAGGTTGCGGCAAAAAATCCAGCAGACTTCAGAGAGATTCGAAATCGTGGTTGATACTTGGTGATCTATCCTCTGGTTTGTGTTGAGCAAAGCAATACAACCCTGCTCAACAAGAAGCATGAGGTGAAGATACTAACAAGCATCAGCATTATCCACGCGGCTATTCTGGCTGCTCATAGGATCTGAATGCAATGCGCTACGATGTTTTAGATTCAAGAATTATGAAACCCTAGTCACACCTTCTCTAGCAAAGCTATGTAGGAGGAATATCCTCCGCTTACACCCAATCAACCGAGATCACTGGGCAACCAAATGCTCGTTTTTGACTTTGTCCACCAGCTTTCTCACAGTCTCGGGATCGTTCGGTTCAGTAAGCCCAATTATCCAACATTGTTTGCTGAGCGCTAGGCCGTCAAGCAACTCAGGGTCGGCGCCCTTCTCTAGCAACCACTCCGCATATTCCCAGTCTAGCGCCGCGCAAGCGTGCGCAAACGCTGTAGTGTCATAACCAGTCCCCTCCTGGTGACAAATGCCGCCCTGTCGGTGCGGTACCCACTTCACGTCGTTGACACCGACGACGCCCTTGGCGAGAACATGTTCCGCCATCGGCCGGCGCTGGGAAAACGGCACACATCCCCAAGCGCTCTTGAGGTAATATTCTCTCTGGTACGAGACGAGGCTGATGAATGGCTTCGTGATCCGCGGCTCGGCGCCCGAAGCCAAGAGGAGGTCGACGAGGGCGGTGTCTCCCAACTGGGCCGCAAAATCGACAGCATCGCCCCCTGTGCTTTTTAAAGGCAGCATATCTGCGTTTGCTCCTAGGGACTTTACCCCAATGTCTGGGTTTGCCCCGTGCTTCAAGAGCAGCTCGACGAGCGGCCTATTAGCCAGGCACCCCTTGAACACGAGCGGTGTCCGGCCTTCATCTGTAAACGGATAACACCAAGCCTGGTTCGGGTGCCAGCCCCAATCGAGGTAGACCTGAATGAGGGGCACGAGGTCTTTTGCTGGCTCAGACTCGTCAAATATCGTGCCATATCCCTCGGCCTGGGCAAACACGTTATTGTGGAGGAGAGTGCCGCGCTCGAGTAGACACCGGGCGACGGCCGGCTGGTTCCCCCAGGAAGCTTGTGCGAAGCCGAACTGCAAGACTGCCTCGCTCGGCTCTCTTTCGCGGATGAAGGTGAGTACGCGATCGAGGAGGCCTTGTTCGCAGGCCACGTGGAAATGGACTTCGTCTTCGTCGTCAACACTGATCAGATTCGCCGTGAAGGAATACTCAGGTCGCGGCAACTTCGGGGGGAGAGGTGGAAAGTGAGCCCCGGGACATAGCGGCGTGGGGTCGATGTCACGATGTACGGTGCGAGGCGGGCGACGGTATCGCCGCCAATTGGCTGCTGTCGTCTGATAGATCCGCTGCTTCATGCGCTCAATCTCCTGCGCGTATGTAGTCGCAAAATTGTCACCCACGATTATTCAGTTGGAATGATGTTAGTGCAGATGATTGATTGATGATGAACCTTGTGAATCAAGGCTGAGATGGAAGACAGGTAAAACGGAAGAGGCCAGGCTTTTATTGTCGTGAGAATAGGCAACAGCAGCGGTGTGGGGACGACCACGTGATAGTCCTCTAACTTAACAAGCTCACAAGAAAAGAGTGGTTGGTTAGAAAGGCCCATGGGAGCATGCTGTGCCGTTGGCTTCATGCGTGACTGTCCTGGTGAGCAGGCTTGTTGGTGCTGTTGGTTGGGACAACAATGGGAGACCATGCCCAAACCTGCCAAGATCGCATCCTCGAATCATATTTCAAAAGTGGTTAGCTGACTTTTGCTCGGTATCCCATAACTGTGGTTGGTTTCCCTAGGTTTCAACAGCGAGTTGGTCTTCAGATGGCAGAGTTAGGCCCTTCAGACCCAGCGAGGTTTTTGTTCAAGCATGAGATGAGCTATCCAGTTCTTCTCAAAGTGTCTACACGGATGTTACATGCGGCTTGTCACAAATGCACATTTCGAATAACAGCCCAGCATTTGACTCTAACTAGCTTATATTCATAATCGACATTGTTGTTTTTGTCGTAGAAGGCAGCCAATGGCCCCAGTATCTCTCACCTGACGGAAGGCATACCACACCCAACCAGCATGAATAGCGAGAACCAATCGATTCAATGATGATACTTGTTGGAAGTAGGTTCGGGAGACATCAAAAAGATGGAGGCAAAGTAATTTGACGCGACATTGTCATTGTCAGGATTTGAGAGCCGGCAAGGTCACACCACGTCGTGTTTGAATTGAAATATTGATTTCAGGATGCAAAATTCGATATGTATTTCCGGTCTACAGTTTGATTGAACTAGAAGTCAAGCTTTCTTAAACTCTCCTTGCACAGTACGCCCGAAAGCTTCAACAGCGGTCTCTAACGCAGCCTCAGGGGCCGCTACAAATGTCAATCGGAGCGAGGCTTCCCTCACATTCTCCGTCTTCGCCGCGAACCAGCTGCCCTTCGTCACCAACACCCCATTCACGCTGGACTTCTTGTAAATCTTGTCCTCGATATTGAGGATAGTATCCGTTTCAAGGAACTCCAATGACCTCACGGCAGGATGCTTCGACACATCCAGCCGTACCAACAAGAACATGCCAAACGTGGGAACGGCCCAGTCGCAGACATCCGGCGGAAGATGCTTCTCGCACGCCTTAACGAGAATGTCACGTCGGCGGCTGTACTCCAAAGAGATATGGCTCAGCCAGTCAAAGAAACCCCGATGTCCCCACGACTCGGCGAGGAGCTTGTACATCATGACTTGAGACGGTCCGGCTGGGAAAGCGGAGCTGATCTCCGTGTTGGCTACGAAGATGCGGACTATCTCGGCGCTGGCGGTCAGCCAGCCAATACGGAGCCCCGGGGCTAGGATCTTGGAGGTCGAGTCGAGGCGGATGACGCGGCCTGTTCTGTCGAGGGACAGATATGAAGTGGGCAGATTTTCCAAGTACTTCTCGGCTGTGAGCTGGGTACTGGAGTCGTTCTCCAGTTGCAGGTAAAAGTACGGGTCGTCTTCGATGATTAGAAGATCGTGCTTCCCGGCGACTTCGTAGATGGCCTTGCGGCGCTCGGTAGACTGCGTCACCCCCGTGGGATTGTGTCCGGAAGGGATCGTGTATAAGACAAATGGTTTCGGTCCCATGGCCTCGTCCCAAGTGCTCAAGACTCTATCGAGTTCCGCGGGTATAAGGCCCTCTGTGTCCATGGTGATTCCGACAGGATTGAACTTCTGCGCTTCTGCAATCTCAATAGTAGGCGGGTAGGTCAGACTTTCAAAAAGTAATGAATCGCCGGGCTTGACGAACATGCGGAAGATAATGTCAAGGGCAGAAGTTGTCCCGCAAGTCAGACAAGTTCGCCAGTCTTCATACTGAGGCTTGTGGATCAGGCCAACATGCTCAGTGACGAAGCGGATAAGCTGAGCATGCCCAGCTGCATCGCCGTAGTTCAGAGCCTTAGACAGGTCAAAGTCCTTGTCTCCCGCAGAGCAAGACGCCGGCGCAGTGTCATCTCCAAAAGCACCGTTACCCTGATGCCTCTTCCCATGAGCTGTGAGCGAGTCCCAAGGAAAGTACTTCGGATTCGGCCGCCCAGTCCCCAAGCTAATCATGTTTGACGACTTGAGGGTAGCCGCGGCCGCCTTGAGTTTGGACGGCATACGGGCCTCGAGCCGGTGGCTCCATGACTGGGCTTTCGGCTTTGCCTCCGTCTCCGTGGCGTGTGGCTTGAGGATGCCGGGATTGCTGGCCGCTGTGGAAGTTGAGGCTTGAACTTGGGGTAGAGCCCGAGCTTGATCTAAGCTGGCTAGCGTTTGGAGAAGCATTGTTGAGCCGAAGTTTGCCGATGGCGGTGCGCCTTGACAAAACTCCTTCTATGTCTCAAGGTTTCATCCACCTATTTATTCATCATACAACTACAGGCTGCAGTTCAACACTCCGAAAGTCGGCATCGATCACGCAACTGTCGTGATAGGAGAACACGGCGTGGTTCGACTCTCCGGCGTCGCTCATCGGAGTATCGGAGAGAGTATCGGCGAGGCCCCACTATTACCGGCGTGTCGGAGTAGCGGCACATGAAGAGGGGGGTCTTGCATGATGATGATAAAGCTGCATCAATCATTCAACAGCTGAAAGACAGATTCAAAAGACATAAAGCAGGAAAGTCGAGCGTAATCTTTGCAGAGTTCATCAGCAACATCGGGTCAAAATGGGTTCCGTCAAGGACAGCAGTGCCCCCACTATCAAGTTGGCCGAGTACCTCTTCACCCGCTTGCGCCAGCTAGGGATAGACTCGATCCACGGAGTCCCCGGCGACTTCAATCTCCACCTGCTCGACTATGTCAAACCGTCCGGACTCCACTGGGTCGGCAACGCCAACGAGCTGAACGCCGGCTACGCGGCCGACGGGTACGCGCGCATCAAGGGCATCGGAGCTCTTATCACAACCTCCGGCGTCGGAGAGCTCTCGGCCATCAATGCAATTGCTGGAGCGTATGCTGAGCGCGCCGGTGTCGTTCACATTGTCGGGACCCCGTCGCGGCATCTGCAGGACAATAGAGTCATGCTCCACCATGGCTTCAACGACGGGGAATACAGACGGTTTGCGCAGATGCACTCTCACGTCACCGTTGCGCAAGCCAGCTTACGCTCTGCGAGTGAAGCCCCCGGTCAGATTGACGAGGTTATGAGGCAATGCCTGGTGCAAAGCCGGCCGGTCTACATCGAGGTGCCTCAGGATTTGGTCTCCGTGCCCGTCTCTGCTCAGAATCTCGAGGCCCCCGTCTGGACACCCATTTACAAGCCCACATCTGCAGATGAAGCTGCTCTGGCAGCCATTTTGGACAAGGCATCTTCTGCAAAAAAGCCCTTGATACTTGTGGACGGCGAGATAAGACTCCTCGGAATCGTCGAAGACGTTGAGAAGATTGTTGCGACTACCGGCTGGCCCACGTGGACAACCCCTCTCGGCAAGTCCTTGATCGATGAGACGCTGCCCAACTTCCACGGCATCTACAAGGGCAAACATGCCACTTCAACCGAGAAAGAGCTCTTCGGTAGCTCTGATCTGATCTTGTACTTCGGCCCTCACCTCAGTTCGACAAACACCAACCAGTTCTCCGTGATCCCCAGATCTGAAGCTGCTATCCTCTTCACTGATACCGAGGTCAAGATCGGAACCCAGATCTTTCGAGATGTCACAGCAAGGGCCGTTGTCCGTGCCCTAGCTCAAAAATTGAAGACTTCCAACATCCATCGCTATGATTCCTACCCAGAGTTGCCGAGAGACTTCAAGATCTCTTTTGCGGATATTCCGCGCGACGGCAAAATCGACCAGTCCAAGATCTGGCATCTTCTGGCCAACGTCATTCGACCGGGAGATGTGGTCCTCGGGGAAACTGGGACATCCGGGCATGGAAGCCGGGTCTTCCCCATGCCGCAGCATTCCAGGCTCTTCCTTCCTTCTACTTGGCTGTCTATCGGTTACATGCTCCCAGCGGCACAGGGCGCGGCTTTAGCCCAGCGGGAGCTCATCCAGTCATCCAAATACTACAGCATCGAAAAAGCCCAAACGATCCTTTTCATCGGTGACGGTAGCTTTCAGATGACAGTGCAAGAGCTTTCAAGCATCATCCGCAATAATCTGGACGTGATCGTCTTCTTGATCAATAATGACGGCTACACTATCGAGAGATGCATCCACGGTCTCGAGGAGGGATACAACGATGTTGCGCGTTGGCGATATCTTCAAGCCCCAAGCTTCTTTGGCGCAAGCCAGGATAGCTACGTACGCTCTGCCAAGACGTGGGGAGAGCTTGAAGACATCCTGGGCGATGACAAGCTCATAAATGGAAAGGGACTGAGAATGGTAGAGATTTTTATGGATGTCGACGATGCGCCGGAGGGAGCTTTATTAGATCTGATGAATGCAGAGAAAAAGAGAATGCAAACTATGTAACGTAGAAATCCTTTAATATTCAAGATCTTCTGTCTCACATAGTTGTGTTACTGTAAATGGTCTTCGCGCCCGGCCTCAGCTCACCCCGGCATGTTCAAATAGCGCAGAGCTCAACGACTGGCTTTCAACTCCATCAACCGTGCACTCATCTTGCCGCCGTCTTCTTTCTTTTCCTCTGCTTTTTCAGACTAAAATAACAATCGAAACAAACGCCAGAGTCCCCTCAGCCAGCGACTTCAAAGTCCCACTTTCTCCCACGAGCGCCTAACAAATGAGAATCCCCAGGTTTTGCTAAGCGCCCTGTCCCAGGGCGGCGAAGCACAAACGATTGGGGGTTGACTGACAGGCAGTCAGACGCCTGTCCCCGCCCTACGATGACCCCTGCAGGCGGTTTCAGCCCTGCTGAAGTCGGCTTGATTGGCTGTGGAATTCCCATCATGAGATCCGGCCATGGCCAGCGGTCAAGGGTCCGGCTTGCCTTGGGCGTCAGTTGGATGCGACTCAGCCCTTTTGTCTCGTCAACGATGAGTCTGTTCATGCCTTTTCTTTGTCTGACGGGGATGGTTATAAGAAACTGTTCAGGGCCGTCCCCAACGTCCTGAACATGGTCACTCTGAATCAGTCCTCACCTCAGCATCACTGCAATTTTATGTCTGCGTTTTCCTTGAGTCTTTCTTTCTGCATCACGGCAAGGCTTTCTTTCTTTGCATACTGCTAGACAGTATTTTATTCTTCTCGGTCTCGCATCATCATCGCAGTCGAGTTTTGAAACGCATATTGCATCAACAACCTTCTTCATCGTAGAAGGACCTCATCTCTCTTTTTATTTTACAATCTTTGCTTTTACAAGATACCCTTAAGACCACCACCAAAATGGGTCAATTTTCAAACGCCATCAAAGCCGGCCAGACCGTCATCGAACTCGGCCGCAATGCCCAAGGCCTCGCCGGCGCAGCCAACGAATTCCGCACCGCAGACAAGGCCGAGATGGGCCGCAACGTCGGCCGTGCCGCCTTCAACGAGGGCGCCGACACCGGCAAGACGATGGGCAAGACGTGGCTCAAGACGTTCGAGGTCGTGCCGCGCCTGGTGTGCCGCGGCCTGCAGTTCCTCTTCGCCCTGATCGCCTGCGGCTTCTACGGCAACCGCGTACAGGCTGACGACAAGGCTAACGACGGCTTCTCCCCCGAGTGGATTCTCGCCATCACCGTCGCCGGCGCAGCTGCTGTCTCGTCGGTGCTCTTCGTTCTTGCGACGCCTCTCAGCGCTATCCCCTTCATCGGCAGCAGAGTCAAGCTGTTCAAGACGTACCGCGCCTTTGCCTGGGACTTGTTCCTTTTCATCATGTGGATTGTGGTGTTTGGAATTTTCGCGGGCATCTTCCTGAAGAGGAGCAGCGATGACAAGTACAAGGGTGCCAGCACCACGGCGATGAAGACTGCCGTCTGGGTGGATCTCGTCAACGCCATTCTCTGGCTTATTTCCGGCGTTTACGGATGCATCAAGACGTTCCTGGGAGACAAGGTTGATCACCTGTCAGACAAGGCTGGAAAGAAGCTGTTTGAGAAGAAGAAGCCGGCGCCGGCTAAGGATGGGTACGCTGAGAGCGTGTGAGGAGCGCAAGCTTTTCTTTTTCAGTATGTAAATTAGATCCCTGTTGGTTTTCGGTTTGACAAGCGTAGAAGATGACATCAGGAAGTTAATAATTGGCGCAACGGCGAAGGGGACTTACAGGACATACGTATTTTCCAGATCAACAAATGGACAAGCTAGAAATGCTTGCATTGATTCAGTCGCCTTGCCATCAGTAATCATTTCACGAATCTTTCTTCCCTTCTAACTTGTTTTCTTCGCAGTTTGCCGCCTGGAGGCGCACCTTGTTGACTGCCGTATGACTCTGACGGTTTCATATCCTGATTGCTGAACATCCAAGGCTCAGTTTTCTCTCTTGATAATCTATGAGCATTCAGATTGGCACGCAATGTAGTTGTCCGTTTATGCAGTCGGCAAATCTCGACATCACCAAGCTCTTGATACCAGATTTCATGGCCCTTTTGAATGACCAATTGTTCCTTGACTGTCGGTTGGATCCCGCACGTTTCTATAGAAGCTTATTTTCAAGCAATCACCTACAATCATACGTGAAGGATACCCAATTGTCGCATACGGCTTTGCTTGGCATTTTGTCGATTATTTACCTTCCCTTATGCAACAGACCAGTGATCGAGATGGTCATAGATGGGCGAACCTAGAAAGCCATTCTACAAGTATTTAGGAGCACGATGTTCGCTTGATGTCGTATCACTTCCTGGTCACTCGACAAGTTCACCAGCATCGCAACTTCTCTTGTCTTGCAATACCTACACGCAACATTGACGCCTGTCATGGATGATCAACTTTCGTACGACCTGCCTGGCAAGGCTTCGCCGGAAAGACATGCTCCAGATGCCCCGAACCCAATCATTGTCGGCCTGTACGGAGTGCCCGCCTGCGGAAAGTCCTTTCTCCTTCGCCAACTGAAGGCCTATCTTGGCGAACAACACTACGCTTTTTACGAGGGTTCCGAGGTCATTGACGACATCGTTCTGGGAGGCCTCCACGCATTCAAGAGGATGCACCCGGACGAGCAACACTACTGGCGTGAGCGTGCGATCACCTTCATAAGCCGGCAATGTCGAGAGACCAACCGTGTCGGAGTTGTCACCGGTCATTATTCCTTCTGTGATGAGGGAGAGAGCCCGAAGAGAATCTTCACCGATGCGGACTCTCTTTGCTACACCCATATCTTCTACCTTGACGTTCCTGCCAAAGATGTGGCCCGCCAATGCCTCGAGGACACCTCACGATCTCGTTCCTCCATGTCGGTCTAACATATCGAGGAATGGATGTGCTACGAAACCTCCATGCTGGAAGATCTTTGCCTGGGTCATGGCATATTGTTCGGAAAAGTGTCATCGACTCCATCACTTCTGGACAAGGTTTCAATCCGTCTCAACGACATCCGCAGACACTCCGAAGAAGAGAATCTCGCCCGTGTCATCAGCATTGTAGACTAGATGGTGAGCAGCAAGACTTCCCGTGGAAAGTTGGACTCCATGCTGGTCTTTGATGCAGATAAAACTCTGTGCGCAGCGGATACAGGCAATCTCTTCTGGCATTTGGACTACCCTGAGTCTGCCTGTGCTGAGTGTGACATTGACACCCCGCTCGAGGAGCTGTTCAGCAGTGAAATGGGGTATTCTTACAAGGCCTTTCGGCAAGCCATGCTACGCTATGAGGATATGGAGTACAAGTTCGAAGTCTTGTGCGATGGCGTTGCATCTAGAGTATTCATTTACCCTGAATTTCTTACCTTGCTCCACGCTGCAGAGAAGAAGAGCAACGTGGGTGTTGTCGTTGTCACTTGTGGCATCCGTCGAGTGTGGGAAAAAAATTTGGCCAGAGAGGGTCTCTGCGATGTCACGATCATTGGCGGCGGTCGAATCGCAGACGGCTACGTCGTCACTCCTGAGGTCAAAGCAGCTGTCGTCTCCCGCCTGCAGGATCACCACAACCTCTATGTCTACGCTTTCGGAGACAGCCCGATGGACTTGCCCATGCTCAAAGCTGCTGACGAAGCAATCGTTGTGGTCGGAGACGAGCGGCTCAGGAGCAAGAGCATGGACGAAGCACTACTGAAGGTCATCGCGGAGGACGGTCTTCGAGCAAAGCAAATGCTGATGCCCAGAACTTCTGGGATGCGTCTTTCCAGCAGCTTGCTCCCGGTGTTGCAGCTTGATGCGCAACAGATTGTTACCGAATTCACCAAGATTCCTCGGCATCTCCGCATCTTCCACGCCACTGACAAGGCTGCAGCTAAGTTGCTCATGACGCCAACCCGTGACGCCTCCGTTGCCGGTCCCAGCCTTCGCGCGGCCCATCATGAGGTCGGTCGCTACCTATCTATCGAATATCTTGCGAATGCTCTTGGTGTCGAAGAATACCCCATACCTCATGTCCAGGGCCACACGACTGCGGGCCACAGACTCCTCGGCGAAGAATCGACGGCGATCATTGCTTTGATGCGGGGTGGTGAGCCGATGGCTTTAGGCGTCAGCGAGGTTTTCGCGAGGGCCATGTTCCTCCATGCTAAGCAGCCAGAGGACATCCATGAGAATGCCCTGGCGGGCAAGAAGACTGTGATACTGGTGGACTCGGTGGTTAACAGTGGAAAGTCAATCGAAGGTTTCGTCCGCCATCTGCAAGCATTGGATGCCACCATTCGTATTGTCGTGATAGCTGGAGTGGTACAAAAGGAGGCTCTTGCCAATGTCATGAAGCCGCTTGGTAAGACTGCTGATCTGAGTCTCGTTGCGTTGCGGCTTTCGGAGAACAAGTACGTTGGGCAAGGAGGCACTGATACTGGTAATCGGCTTTTCAACACCATGCACATCTTGTGAACTCAAACATCTTTGAGACAGCCTTAAGACGGCAATAACGTACCAATACGAGTTTTATGAACAGAAATTGGAGGTGCGAGTCTAGAGTTAGCTAGAAAATGAACGGTTTGACTTTGTCACTTACGTCATCGAATTGATGTGTACAGTATGCAACACCGCAGCGAAATGGGTAAAAGGTGACTACTGCTTTTCTCTGAAACCGTACCTTCCTTTGCCTCACGTTTCCATTTACCGTCTGTCAACCAAAGTGACTGTCTCGAGTGAAATTGCTCTCTGGACGCAAGGGTATGACGATTTATGTTAGATCCGCAAGCGGTATTCGGTGAGTCTTCTGCAACACAGACTATATGCCTACGAACGAAGAAAGAGAAGATATGAGAGCAAAAGACATAACCTCAAAACTAGCTTTTTTGAACTCCTATCAACTCATGGACGGTTTTCATTCTTGAATAGTACTATTCCTGCAGTAATGCATGTTCAATGTGCTTAAGGTATCGTGTCAGAAATACCAGAAGAATGACTGTCGCTGACCTTCCCCGAGTCTTCGCCTACTTCCGAGAGTTCCTCGCCACTGAGATATGGAGACCACGTTACCATATCGCCAGTTTTAGATACTTTGCTGTTTGAATAATGAATGGGCTTCACTCCTTTTTTCAGCAAATATTGTGCGATGTCGATACAATTTTCGGCCAAAGCCAAGGCGTACGGGGTCTGTCCCTGCTCATCGCATGCCTCAATATTGGCTTTTTTCCTCAAAAGAAGCTCAATCGAGCTTTTGGCGCATCCAGCTACAGCCCAATGTAGAGGCGATCGTTTCGAATCATCGATGTCATCCACGTCCACGGAAGCTCCATGTAATAGTATCTCCATTATCCGAAAATGGCCCATCTCTGATGCGTGTGATAACGGTGTCCGTTTTTTGGAGTCCGTTAATTTTACAGACGCCTGGTTATACGTCAGATTCCGTACGATATCAATTCTCCCGTAATGAGCCGCATAGGTAAGCGGTGTTGTGCCCTTATTATCCGCCAGGTCTACGTCTGTGCCCATCCGCAAAGACGCATTCACGACTTCCTCCCAACCTTTCTCAGACGCCCAAGAGAGAATAGTGCGGCCGTTTTCGTCACTAAAACGTTTGATATCTCTGGTCCGACTGATTCTCAGAAGGCATTGAGCTCTTTCCCCAGAAATCAATGCATTGTAAACTTCCGGGGCGCTATAGGTTCTCCCGGGCCTTTGAACGAACCACAATTCAGCGAATTTGTCGTACTGCTCGATCGTTCCGGAGACTGATTCCAAGGGAGTTTCATGTTCAACATTCCTCAACAAAGGCTCGTCAGATTCAGCTTTGATAGAATTACCCGTTGATGAGTAGTACTACAAAGCGCAATCGCCAACTTTGATGATTGCGACATCTAACTACTATTTTCAAACGTTTGACAAAAAGCAGCCTGTCACGCTACTAGAGAGTGAGACAACATTTGACCGCGAACCTCATTTACAATAGGAGTTGGAGACAACAGTAGTACTCAGAGTAGCATGTGCGTCGAATGTGGTGTAGAGATAGTTGATATATTTCGCCGTCAAATACTACCCTGGACTGAAGAATTGCATTGAAGAAGAGGCGCGCTCGATGTTAAGTTAACACTGCCTGCCTAGAAATTTCGAGTCCCGTCAAATTCGGCAAATCGTCTTCAGTCCAAGAAAAGTTACAGACCCTGCCGCAGACTTATCTTAAACCTCACGCCAGGCCGTAGCCTGCTGCGATTGAATTATTGGAAACCAGCTCACTCACGGAGGTCCCGTTGGTGACGACCTTCACCCAGCGATCAGACTTATTCTGGTTATGATAAAGAGTGGTACTCAGGACCTCTGGCTCGCTTGGTGGCTTCGAAGATATCAAACACTGATTTATGCGTCGCATCCCATACAACGCTCGTCTAAATCGGCGTCGTCAAGGTTTCCAAGTCTTCAATGACATCGCTGTAAGGACGACGTCAGGGCTCCTAGTCTGGAGAATGGTTCCGGGCTCTCCGTTTGAGTTGGTCACACGAACGGGTTCGAATGGAGTGGCTAGTAGCAGGGGCTGTGGAACTCCAGCTGGAGGGCTAAGCATGATTTTCATCAGGGTCTAAACACAGTAGCAAGCAGTGCTTCTGGAGACATTGTGGTCAGAGATCTCGAAGAAAGTGTGGTTGGGTCTGGGATATTGCCGCATAGGCTATTCAAGGGAGAAAGGCGAGAAGTAATCGGTACCTCAGTTCCATTCTCAAGTCTCAAGAATATAGCAGAAGTATTGGTTGGCTTTGAAAATCAGCCTGAAATTATGTCCTCCAGCAAATGACGATTTGGGTTGTGCACGAAGGAACGCGACGCGTAGCATTCTAACCGCTATAGCGAAGGCTCGTTTTGTTATGTGATCCTAAGTATATGATGTATCCAAGTAACCCCAAGCCTCCCGAGAGTTGGGAATTTCAAGGTCTCGACTCGATCTCCTCCCGAACCTCCTTCGGAAGGCGCGCGTCTTCCCGCCAGACAAATAGTATCGCCGCAGCACCACCGATGACGACCATGACAGCAACACTAACGATGGCAACGACGGCACGGGTATGAGTCTCCATGATGATTGTCTGACTCACCTGAAAATTTTCTTTGGTTTGTTTTGCGGTGTCGACGGGTTTTTCAATTTTACCCCTGAATGTGACGATATCGGCGGTGGTGGTTGATAGGGCTGTATCGTCGGATACTGAAGTCGAATAAACCGTCGAATACCTGCGTATCCCAAATTCTCAAAACTCTTGTTTGTTTGTATTCGTCTGGTTCCAATTCTGCCTTTGCTCCTTCCCTCCCAATCACCCAAACCATCATCAACTCACCTAAATACCACCCACAAACAAAGCACCCTCATCCCAAACACCACCCCAGATCCCACACAAACCACGCACAAAGGCTTCCTCCCAAACCCTTTCTTCCCCTTCAGTATCTTCACACAGCAAACCCGCGCGCGTCGTCACAGGCCATCTGTGAAAAAACCAGACCGCACTGGGGGCCCAGCTTGGTTGTTCACCACCACCCACCTCGCTGCCACACCTTCCTACCCACAACAAAGCCATTGTCCCACCCGCATCCCACCTTTTCTCGAACTTGTGAACAGACTCACACTTGTTCAGTCCTCGACCCTCGAAGACCTGCTCTAACTGCTCTAGGCCTTCTGCGAGTAGTGACAAAAAGAAAAGCGCATATATCCATCCGCGCGCAAACGCCAGCGCTCAACAGGAAAACTTCCCCTTTCCCTCCTTCTATCCCACACGAAAATCAACAATCACAAAATCGGCGACGTAATCCAAGAAGTAAGTGACCTTTTCATCTCCCAAACTCATGTGGTTTCTCACTTGAGAAAAAACAGACGCAGCGCTTTCAGACTAGGATAGTAGTTCACCAGAACAACAGACTGAGGACGCGCGCGCCTCGTTTGCTCACAAAACCAACCCAATCTGGCGATACCCTCACCACTCCCCACACCAGAAACAACCTCACCGGAGGCGAACTCCATCACAATGTCCGACTTCAGGTACCTTCCCTTCCCGCTCCCCGCCGACGCGACCCTCACACTCACCACCACAATCACCAGAGAGCTTTCCACCCCCATCCCAACTACCACCGCACCGCCCTCGATCACAACCAACTCCCTCCATGACCCCTCTCAAACCCTCTCCATCACCACGATCACACTCCGCGTCACAGATGCCCCCTCCAACTCCAGCAGCATCCTCAGTACCGCTGTCTCCTCATCCCCAACCCCCACTCTGATTCCCACACCTATCCCCTCAGACCCAGCCCACAAGCCCGCAGTCCGAGGCGACATCACTCCCACATTCTACATCCTCGCCCTCGTCCCCATCCTAGTGATGATCCTCTGCGCCTACGAATCCTACACCCACCGCAAGATCGACGCCGAGCAGAAGAACATCACCACCACCACCAGGGCCGCCGCCCCTCGCAACCACCCCAATGGCGACATCGAGCTCCAGGACCTCTCCACCGCCCCCGCGGTCCCTCTGCGCCAGTACTGGTGGTTCGAGGATGACACCGTCACAAACCAGGTAAGCACCGACACCGACGACCGCGGCGTACCTTACAACGCCATCTGCCACCCGCGTCCCCCTATCCCCCTCCCCTCCCTCTGGACAGCCTCCTGGTGGCCGTACAGCCGCGGCAGCGGCCAAGGCCGTCCCCACGGGACGCTCCCCGGCTGGGGCAGGCGGCACACCTTCTCCGAGTGCGGCTCCTACCCCTCCACCTTCGACCCGTCTCGGCCTCGCCTCGGACTCAAGTTCGAGCCCCTCACCCAAGAGGTCAGGAGACGGGGGCGGGACGGAGGAGGAGCAGGAGGAGGGGAGGTCTACTCGCGCCGCCTGATTGTGGGCCGTGATGCCGACGGCGTGATCCAAATCGTCATCCACCCCCGCCCCCCAGCCAAACCCCAAGACGATGATGATACCCAAGACGATTCCCAACTAACTCTTGTCTCTCCTCCCAGGCCACCGACACCGCCCTCGCAGCCGCCGAGACCAACCTCGTGCCCTCCCGGCCTTCTACCCCCGACCGGGCCGCCGGAATCCCCTCCTACTACAACAATGGCCGCTCCCCGACCCTCAACTACTCCTCCTCCGTCTCCTCCTGCTCTTCTACCTCCGTCGCCGACGTGGATATGATCCCGCCTGGCATGAGCGCCAGAGCCGCTGGCAAGCTGCCCGCCAAGCCCTAGAAGGGCAAGGCTAAGGCCAGCAGCAGCGGCAACGGAAACGAGGCTACCACAGCCGCGGTCGCCATCGGCACCGACCAACCCACCACCCCGACTGCGACGTCTCGGCGCCCGAGGAACGTCGCCGCCGGCGAGGGCTCATCCTCGTCGACGGACGCATCCCAGCCCGCGGGCGCGCCGAAGAACCTCCCGCCCCGGTGCGACACCTGCAAGGCGTGGCCGCTCATCGAGTGGCCCCGTCTCTGCACCTCCTGCAGACGGGTCGTCTAAAGGCCACAGCCCACAGACACAAGAAACCGAGGGAAGGGGAGCACCAAACCGCCATCCCTATCCCTGCCATGCGTGTGCGAGAAAGAGAGCTGCATCTCGAAATCTCTCCGTCCGTCTTGGCTCGTTCCATCTGCATTTTGTCCAAGGTGGGCAGGCGCTCCGACCAGGCGCATCTACCATGCTTACCGCTTTTGTCGCAGATGGGGGAGAAACCCAAACTATACCGCAGATGGAAGAACGATGCGTCTTCGTACTTTGGATGAGCGAGGGAGACAGGGGGTGAGAGAGAGGGAGAGCATCTGTAGGCTATACTGTACAACTTTGGACGGGGGATAACCAAGATAGCAAGGAGCAAAGAGAATCAGAAACCAGGCAAACACGAACCGCGGATCCTCTAACACTCGTCGTTATACTTCTCTCCCTTCCCTTTCCGAGATCTTGGATGAAGGAGAGAGATCCCGTAAACTCTGAGACGGGAAGGTAAGGGAAGGGAAGATTCGAACTCAAAATCTTGTCTTGGGAGGACGGAAGGACGGTTGGGATGCCGTCCGCTGGGTGCGTCCTAGAAGACCAAAGCATGAATGGGCGAGTGCCGAGGTGGAGTGGCCTATCAACTGTCAGCTATTGTTTTGTAGAAAAGGGTCTACCCCAATAAACGTGCGTTGTTTCAAGTCAATCACTTTGGCCAAAACACATCAGAGGAGGGATGACCCTGACGACAATCATCGGGAGTGGTGTGCAGCGTGAGGAAATGTGTGTGTTAACCAAGAAATGGGAACAGCCCGTCGGCCAGAGCGCTTCTCGACCGCGGGCTGCACCTCTGAAACTCTTTGATTGCTCTTCTCTGATACCCTAATGCAATAGAGTGGCCGTCTAATAGTAGCCGGACAATAAGATCCCATTCCGCAATAATCCCATTTTTCTCACAAACCGCAGTTGTCGCAAACTGCATGCTTCCTTCCCAAAAACGCTGTTGTAGAAGCGCCCCAATACCCTTGTACAAAAAGTGCTGGTGCTGTTCTCCCCTGCTGAGAATTGAAGTAGGAAAGCCCTTGCTCCTGCTCCTGCGAACGCGGACACGAGGTGGTCTCTCGCGCCCAGTTGCCCCAATAGCCCATCCCATGCTCGCGCGTATCACGGCTACGAGAAGGGTGGGTTGCTCCCTTGTTGTAGGATACTGAATCGAAAAGTGCCGCTGCTCGCTCGCTAGTTGGTTGTCCATGCAATTGACTCCGAAAACGCCTGTTCATTATGATTGGTCCGTTACCGCCCGTTCTTTGGTGACAAGGCTCGACAATAGAAGTTGAAAACAGAAAGCCCCCGATGTGGTCGTCGGGGCCTGGTGAAAGTGTAGAAGTCGTTGTATATAATACAAGCTGAAGGGAAGGCGACTCGAATGTACGGCGTCGGATTTTGACTGGGTATTATCCGAGTATGTTCGGCTTAATCCGTGGGTAGGTTAGATGATCATCCGCACCCCTTGGGCATTCCGTAGGCAAGGCTTGTTGCTGTTGCAAGTGCCTCGCTTATCTGTTGCTGCTGGTATCGCCCCAGATGGGTGCGCCGAGGGGCTTGCTGACACCAAAGCCAACACCGACACCGACACCGATGACGAGGAGGCCGAGAGCGATCTTGGTGATGATGCGGTTCTTCTTGCTCATCTTCGCCATGCAGGCGCAGGAGCTGCGATCTCTCTGACGCTTGGCAGCCTTCGCCCTAGCCTTCCAATCCTGCTTCCCCGGCCATATCGTGGGGCAGTCTGCCTTAGTAGTGGTGATGGTCTTCATGGCGTAGGGGTCGGAAGAGGAGGTGGCAGTGATCATAGCCTCGATATCGGTGTCAAAAGGGTTCTCATTGCGGTAGGATCTTGGGGTGGAGAGGTTGCTGTCGCGGTGGAGGTCGAGACTCTTCTCGGGGGTCGTCGTGGGAACGGGCGTCAAGTTGGCAGAAGGGATACCCTCGGTGGTGGTGAAGGCGGCCTTCTCGGGGACGGAGATGCTTGCGACAGTCGGGTCGACAGTCGTCTTTTCGACGGTGGCAGCCATTGCGAATTGGTCGGGGGAGAAGCTGGCGAGCCTGCTAAGAATACGATACTCGGTGGTGCTGTGCTTGTGTAGAGGTGTTCGACGGAAGGATCCAAGCACCCCAAGATGTCTGTCCCGTTGTTGAAGAAAAGGAGACTAGACAATTGCCAAGAAAACGCTGCTGGGCAGACTGGCAAGCGGGTTAGTCAGGGCATGGCGAGGTTAAAGTATGAATCAGCGGCGGAAAGGTTGGGTTGCACAACAGGGTGAGGGTGAGGCGTCTTCTTGGGGAGGCAGGTTATGCAAGGCAGGAATTGAGATCAATGCAGACCCAATTAGGAGAGAGGATTGGGTGACGTACAGTAGTAGACACGGCAGGTACTCTGCAACACCCGAGCTCGAGGAACACGGAGTGATTGTGGTCTGGTGGCAGGAGAGGCAGACGGTTCTCAAGCAGCGCAAGTCCAGCGGCGATGGCCTGATATCAACCCACTCGAATGGTCCCAGCCAGAAGGTGAGGTGGCGGCGCGGTTGCAGTCGCAGAGGCAGGTGACGGCCGGGGGCGAGGAGCCAAGGCGAATTGTCTTTCCAATGACGGGTGTTTCTCTCCAAGTCAAGGCCAACGGAAAGGGCCTTGTGATGTCAACCGGGGGCTGGTTGGCACGCTGGAAGGGAGGATGCGAGACAAGCAACCAAGAGAGAGAATAAAGGGAGGAAGATGTCGAGGAGAGAGAGGTCGATAAGGCGGCTGAGGATGGAGGGAAGGAGGTGTTGAAGAAGGTCGAGGACGAGAACAAGACCGACGACGAGCACGAGCAGGAAGAGCTGCCTTGTTGAAGGGTGTGCCTGTACGAATAAGGGACTGTGTGCAAGCACGACCCAGATGGCGGTTGATGTGGATGGAGGACTGGGGGGCGTTGAAACCAGACTGCAAGGTCGTTCAGCAGTGCAGGGCAATTGGGACGGGACGACCTTCAACGAGAACTTGGCGGATTCGAAGAGACGACGCGACGGGAAGAGGGAGAGAGCAAGAAGGAGAGCAACGTGCACGGAGGGGAGGGTGTCACGATGGTTTTATTGGGGATGCGAATGTGGATGAGGAAGGCATAGCATAGTGAAGTGCATAGTAGGCACATTGGTGGGAGTGAGTGGATAAGTGCCAGTCGCATGGCGGCAGCAGGTACACGAATACAAGCTCCAGTGCGATGGATATGGCTGTTTGGCTGTTGGGGACGCCTGTAAGAGGCAGAGACACTGCGAGTACGGGATATAGCGACTGACTACTGAAACCTGGGAAGGCAGACAACCAGAAACGGGTGTGAGAGAGAGCGAGCGAGAGAGAGTGCGCCGAGCAGAGAAAGAGAGTGAGGGTGAGGGCCGTGGAGTGACAGACATGGGATGGAGAGCAAGAGAGAGAGAGATTGTGGATGCACCATACCCTGTCGGGTACGTACCTGCCTAGGTGGTCCCTCTCTCTGTGGCCCTTGGATCAGTGGATGGACCACGACCCAGACCGGGGACAGCGGTGGCTCCGCTGTTCGCTTGGGGTGGCAGCCGGGGGCTTGCTGGGGGCGTCTCAATGGGAGTGGGAAGATGTGAATGGAGCCAAGATTGCATCTGCAGGGGACTCCTCTCTCTGTCAGTCGCTCGCTCTCTCTCTCTCTCTCTCTCTGTCTCTCTCTCTTTTTTTTTTTTTTTTTTTTTTTTTTTTGGTCTTTTTCTTCTTCTCCCTCCTCTGCTAGGACTGGCGGCAGCTGGCAATGTCCAAGTCCACGTCCTTACGGGCGGCACACTAGCAATTAGACACCCACGGCCGCCAGCAGATGCACAAAGACATTGGGAGACGCAACGGGAGGCCAAGACCTGGTGGCTCCCCTCTGGACTGATTTCTCTTCTTTTTTTTTCTCGAAGAATTTTCCGGGGCCCTTGTTGTTGAAAAGCTTGGACTCCTCCTGGTGCGGCGACAGCGAATACGTCGAGAATACGCGCACTGATGCTGAGCTGAGCTGGGAGATGCGATGTCTGATGCGATGCGCTGCGCTGCGATGCGAGTATCCCGTATCTGTGCAGTCTGCCTGGCCTCGGCTTGAGCTTCTTCTGTACCTGAGAAGTCGCCGTGTCTATTTTGTTTTGCTTCCTAGCTAGCCCTGAGGAAGGTTTCGTCGCCTTAGCTAATCTTTGAGCTTTTGGAATACGCCAGTGAACTTTCTTCCTTGCTTCCCTGTCAATAGAGGTCGATTGCCTGAGTCCTGAGGCGCTGCTGCCACTGACACACCACCTGCTCTCTGCATCTCCCGTAAATCGGATTCGACAGCGATACGTACCCTCTCGTCTATCCCACCCAAGTGCTGGCTGTTTGCTCCTGTGGATGCGCATCCATTTCCAGAATGGTTCGAGCAATAATGGACCTTGTCGTCCAGCTGGACTGGGGTTTCGACGCTGGATCTTCGTCCATTGTCCCTGTGCCCTTCTTCGATTGTCACCTCAGACCTCAGAGGCGCGACGACCAGTCCAGACCGCCACTGCCAGTCGCTGCAAGCAGGACCGTCACCACCACCACGGTAGAGCTGATCTACTTTAGTGTCGCTGTGTAGGTAGACAGGCGTGACAGGCGGCAGACTACAGCAGCAGCTAGACTCGACAGCCGAGGAGGGGGCGGACAAGCACAACGCCAACGTCCACGCGACCAGCAGCAGACCAGATGAAAGAGTGACCGTGTCTTGGTCCTTAGATTCCACGACTCCTAGCGACGACGATGGACCTACTCCGTAGACGACATCGGCAGACTGCGCCGGCCAGACCCCCGCCATGCGCCCAAAAGGCCAAATCAAGTTAGCCGCAAGTACCTCCCACTGCTTGCTTGCGGGGAAGTGACCTCGCAAGCCAGTCAAATCGGCATCTGCAGGGTGTTGTTGGTGCTGCTGGACTGTCACCTGCGGTCCTGGCGACGACGAGGGCAACGACTAGGGGCAACCGGTGAGCTCAAGACCTTCTTCGTCGTCTTTTTTTTCACTTCTTCCCCTCCATGTTCATGTTCGTGCGCACAGGTCTGCTGAAGGGCGAATTGAGTTAGGTCTGTGATGACTGGGCCCAAAAGTCAAACCACCCACCCGGTCGACAGGTCGAAAAGCAGGCGGCCACACGGCCTACCTGTCCATCGCGGCAGCCAGCTGGAGAGAGGAAGGGGCCACCGCCAGCAGACCATCAGCCACGGGTCGATGCTGGTCGGTCACAGTCCCTTCAGTGGCAGGAGCAGACCGGCAAATGCCATGGTCGCAGTCTCGATCACCACGCACGAGGCAGGCGACGCCAGAGACGGACGAGATGGCGGATGGCGACTTCCTTCAATGCCTGGAAAGAAGACACAACTGACAGGCACGAGCACGGCACAGGCACAAACACGCAGGTGCAGGTGCTGGTGGTCGCACTTGGGGAAGAAGGTTGCAGTAGCGGTTGCAGTGGATTGGACTGGCAGACAGACTGGTTCGCGCTAGAGGCAGGTACGTACTTTTCTCGAGGATAAACACCCCTGCCCCCCAGCAGGTGCAAGCCCAATCTGCATTACCGTTTTTGGTATGGCTTCCTTTTATGAAAGGCCCCCGCCAGCGGCACCTTCCATGCGCATCTCAACACGTCTGATTGGCCCATCTGCCCCGTCCCTCTGGTGCTGTGCGGGTGGCGGGTCCACTCCCTCCAGAGTTATGCCTTTCACAGTTAGTGTCAGCCGCACAAGTCGCAGTGCCTCGCTCAATTCAATTCATCCTCCTCGTCGCCTCCTCCACCCAGAATTCAGAATTCCATCCACCCTGCCTTTTCGTGCCGTCCCCTCTTCTTCACATGAATCGTCGTCATCTCGCTGTCTCCTGGTCTCTGGTTGGCAGCTGGCTGACTACAGAGCACCTCTACAGCACTACCTACCCCTCCATTCAAGCACCCAGGCTGCCACTACGAAGTACGTGCGCAACAGCTCAGGTCCTCCAACGAGGCACTGCAAAGACTAAGGCTGGTTCGCCTCCTCTGCGATGGCTGACTGACTGGGACACAGACATTGAGATGGACAAACAAACCTACACAACACTTCAGCGGCCCAGCCAAACCAGCCACTGCCGCCGCCTGTCAGTCATCGTCTGCGCCGCTCAACTGCCAAGATGACCCGTCAAAAGCTTACGGCGAACCCAACGCAGCGGCGTGAAGGCTGCGCACACTGCGTACGTAACGGACGAGACATTCTTCCCAAACAAACTCCAACCCAGACAAGACCAGATCCCTCCGTCGCACGATGGACAAGAAACCATCCAGCTCCAAGCCACCTCCAGTGACGAAGAAGAACAGTCCAACGTCGCGATAGAGTATCCCAATCGTTCCCGTTCTCGTTCTCGCCCTTGTGGTCCCCAGCAACCCAGTACACTACCTGCTATGGACAGCACCGCGATGCGATGCGATGCGATGCACGATCCGCAACTGGGCTGGGGCGCCTTTCCCTTCTCCCCGTCAGTACGGATAGAAGACCCGTTCTCATCGAGTCCATGCCTCTTTGAGCCTGCCCGTGGAAACATCAACGATGGCGGACCCCTCTTTCTCGTTATCATGCATCTCCATCTGCCATATGCCATCTGTTCTACGGATGACTTCATTCCATATCGGCATCGCAAGTCCAGGGCAGCTTTCTCATGCTTATGCTCACGCTCGTTGCATTGTGCACTTACACAGCCTTACCCCGGTTTGTTTGCCTGCAGCACGGTGGGCGCAAAAAGAGCACGATCCCTGGCTACCTCTCGCCTCTGCCCTGCTTGAAGGGACGCGACAATGATGGCAGCAAGTCAGGATGCGCATTCTGTCCCATGGCATTGGGAGTTCCATCCTCCTGCAGCTTGCCCCTTCTCGTCGTCTCTCCATTCGCTGAAGAGCACCCTCGGTTCCTAATTGGGTTTTTTGGGCCAACCGGCCGAGTCTACGCTTCCCCCGTTCTTTATTCGTCTCTACACGTACGAATAGACTGCCTATCTCCTCCTCTTGGTCTACCCCATCACATGGGTTCGTATTGTGCTCCTGCAGGCTCCAATTGTTCATCCTCTCACTCAACCAGTCTCACGCCAAGTCTCAGTCTTACTCGTTTACGAACACTCGCTCTCATTCAAACCCAAAGCTTGCAAGAAAAATCGGGGCAAGTGGCCAACGGCAAAGACGTTCGTCTACCCCCGGCCCGTTGGTGATTTCTACGTCCACGTCCCGCTTCAACGGCAGCGGCCAACAGGCATGGTTCATGGGTGGTGCACCTGCTGTTCATATCGGCTCTCCCCACGGCATATCGCCCCAAATTGAAATCATGAGCGACAGCAGCCAATCCGTCCCCCTGCTGCTCGCTGCCGCCGCGTCTGCACTGCTATTTTCCCCATCGCTTTTTACAGGACCCATCTTGTCCCATTCACCCATTTTATCCCCTCTCTCACCGTGCACCCCTTTTCCTGTCGTTGGACTCGTTTTGCCCCTGCCAATCACCCGTCTTTTTTTCCCTCTGCTCCGCTCTGCCTTGACATGGCCATGACTCTGCCGCATTGACTGGAAATGTTCATCATGTTTGCGAAACAATCCTGGACTTCACGTCTTCGTTGTCTCTGGATGAGGCAGACCAGACCCAGTGTTCAGTTTACGGCCCCCAGTTGCGCCCTGTTCGCTTGTCTCGCTTGACGACTCCTTCTCCCTGCGTCAATACTTTCTTACCGTGGGCAATGGCGCACCGCTTCCGTTTTCTTTTTCGACGCTGTGCAATGACGGGACGGCAGTAGAGACAAAGCGCAGATTTTCAAAGTGACATGATTGACGGGTACCGTTGGACGCAGGCGCGCAGTAGCGTAGCCTGTCAATGTCGCATCTAAACATTTCTCGCATTTTGTTCTAAAATTGACTTGGCTGAGAATGATACCAAAAAACAATGGAGAGGAGAGAGATAGAGAGACAGAAACCACACCCCCGTGTTTCGTTCTCGCTCTCGCAACCTCCACTTGCTCAACGGCCGCCCGGCGCGGCTTGTGCCGTCTGGAACTTGGACGCGGTTGCTCGTTCCTCCACCCGCGTACTGCGTATTCTGCAATCGCTGTCGCAATCCTTGATAGACAAGCCGGGCGGTGCTGGAACATATTGGCCCTCCACATACGAAGAGAGAAAAACGCCCAACATGATAATCGTCATCATAATTGACCACATACGAGCCCGGGCGCATTGTCATCAATTCGCATCCATCCCTTGGGAGCATCATCTCTGCCGTCATCGCGGATACGTGTATTCGGAAAGGGGAGGAAAGCTTGGCAGACGTGCCTGTCTTCGTCGTCTCCGCGGGAGGAAACTTTGTATCATTGACGTCCTTCCAACATGCTCTTCCCCGTCTACCATGTGGTTCCCGCCCATTCACCAGTGCAGCACCCCCTTTCGAGCGCAGATACGCTGGTCGCCAAGAGCAAGCTAGGGACCCTTCCGTGCCAAGGCACAATCAAGTTGCAAAGCTTGTCTGCCCTGCCACGGTGCGTGTCTCCAGCGCCGGCGGGCCTGAACAACGGTGGTTCGCCGCTCGGTGGCTCTCCTCTCTCCAGTTCTAGGGGGGGGGGGGGGGGGGGGGGGTGCCAGGTGGTGGTGATGTTCAACTACTCCTGCCGTTCGGTCAATTTCCCTCATTGCAGAATGATATGCCCGAGTCGATGCAACCTCGACGCCGCCAGCAATTGGCCGAGACGCCGCGACAGCGCAACGCCTGTTTTTGGAGGACGTCGGCCGGTCACAGGTAGAGGAGCAGGAAATGGGCGCCCGGCGCCATCTGCCCGGCATGCACACCTCACCGTCCAACACGCACCGGCAGGCCTCCTCCTCCTCCTCCTCGGGCCTTCTAAAGGGTGTTGAGCAGCACTCCAAAGACAGACAACTCTCGTCGTGGTCGCCGAAAATCCAGAACCCATACACGGTAGCCGCTAATGCAAGGCACATCCAACCACAGGCCACTGAAGTAACACCCTCACAGCAGGTAATGACCATCCACGACCACGGTGCAGACCTGCCCAATCGCCGTAGAGGCACACCGTTAGCCAAGAAGCTACCGCCGTGGTGGACGACGCGACCACGCCTGTTGAACAAGACCAAAGGAGAGACAGCACTTCCTTTGTCGCCTCACCCGCTGGACTGGGGCGGTCAGTCCCGCGCCGTCCCCTTCTGGAGCCAAGTCCGGCTTGGAGAAGCCCCAAGAGATGTCTTGGGATGGATGGGCGCGCTTTTCCGGGCCTTGGCCAAAGCACCACATCCTATTTCTTCCGGTGCATACACACACACTCACACCAATAGGTCGCATTTTTCTGCTTGAAGCTAGTGTTTGTTCTATGCAGAAGCTGGAATGTGGGAGGTAGGAACGCCGAAGGGTTGGGTTATCACGATTTCTGTGTCACCCTCTGGGCGGTGGTGGTGGTGGTGGTGGTTCATCCCGCAAAAGGCTGGCCTGCCTGCTTGCCTCCTCGCCACAGGTTCATGCCGCTGCACTGCTGCCCATCCTGAACGGATTTCCCACCTGTGGCAGGCCCGTAGGCTGACCAGCATCATGACAGCACCGCTAAGCGAGCAAGCAAGACCAAAAAAAACAGGCGAATTTCAGTATTAGGCTTTGCAACGAGAGAGGGGCAAAAAAGCACACTTCTCTGCCGCGACTCGCGCACTGCAGCTGCTGTTATCGCTACCTCCGCGGGGAAAGGGTTCTCGAAAGGTGTCGTCCCAACATGCTGCAGCCGGCTAAACAAACCAGTCCAACGACCCGGTGCAGCAGCAGCTTCAGTCCGGCCGCCGCTGTCGTCTGATGCCAGGTTTGCTCCTGCTCACGAGAGACCGGCGGCTGTCGCATGCTGCACGAAATAATAGTCCCATGTGGGATGCAGCAGTGGTCTAAGTGCCAGAAGCCAGTCAGTCGCTTCGCTGACATCATGGGGGGCTATCCAAGACAAGACCTCTGGCAGCAGCACATGGCTCGTGGTTTCCAAGGCAGTGAGACAAGAGAGGATGCCGTCTGCCAATCTGCCATCCATCACCCATCCTGCCGTAGTGCGAGAGCCAAGAAAAGAGCCAATCTTTGAAGCCAAGATGTTGGACTGCCGCGGCTAATAGTTGATGTATGTTGCCCATCGGCTCTAGCTTCGCAGCAATCCTCACCGACGAATAAGACTACGGTGTATCTGTGTGTGTGCGCGGGAAATCCGAGCCATCGGCATCTATCTAGCTATCCAGAATCAAGCAAGGAACAGGTGCGGGAAATGCTGTACCGCAGAGACAGTTTAGAGCGTTGTAAACTCTGCCTTCCGACGACTGACTCTATCGTAGTCTAGCCCCCCTAGCGATTTGATTCCAGATAGGCATTCTGCCCCCCGCCATGTCACGTTCAAAGTGCCCTGCACGTCGCCATCGTTGGGAATCGTCGGTGCTCCTCCTAGCGGCGGTCCCTGTCCCCGCGCACCGTTTTGTCGGGGTAGGCAGGCAAGCTAAGGTTAGCCAACGATAAGAGAGGAATTTGCGTGTTTGGTAGGGTAGGCTGCCAAACACACATCGTCCTGTTGGCATGGCTGGAACTGGACACTGGATGCCGAGCAGCAGAGCAGCCTGCCTATCTCACACTTGCGCAGGTTTCAACGAGCAGACTGGCGTTTCCCCCCACCCCCCACGTGCCGTCTTTCCTCCCCTTGCCCCTCCATGGACTTCTGTTCGTGTCTGGTGAAGACTGCAGCTGGCATGGTCTGGACCTCGTCCTCCTCTTGCTCGTTACCAGGTCTGTGGGAACCGTGAAAGATATCATCCAGACAGCGGATCACGGAATGCGGCCAGAGTGCAGCGCTGGTTTATCACGTCTTGCGTTACATTTGCTACGGCGCACGCGCGCGTGGGACCGGGGAGTGAGGGGGGCAAGATACAGATATGGGATGAAGGGCGATAGCAGGCAGGGCGATATCGTTCGTGCTGGGGAGTTACGACCCTGGCGCGATTGTGCAGACAATGCCGCCCATATCGCCATTCATATCGCATATCGCATTTCTGGTGTAGAGCGGGCATGTTCCGACTTTGAAACTTGGGTTGTGTATATCCGAGGATTGGATGAAATGCCGATATCTGTTCTCTTGGGCAGTTGTTTGATCGCTATCGCTCTCGTCCCCGACAATGTGATGTTTTATCTTTTCGCACTCGCGCAATGCGATGGGCAGAAAGACGCGAGCACGGCGCGGAGGTGAAGATGGAGGATGCTTGTTGAGGCGGGCCGTTTTGGCCCGCCAAGTCAGTGGTGCGCGGCAGAAGACCTGGGTTGGACCTGACTGAGATCTTCTTGCTCCGACGGGTCTACTGCGATGTTCCTTCATGTTTCCGCAACTCAAGTATGATGGCCACGCCGTCTTCTGTGAAGGTGCTGGTTGCGCGGCGCAATGGTGAGATGTATGTGTGTGCGTGTGTATGTGCTGTGTCTGCTACGTGACGCATACACGAGGTGCGACGTTTGAGCAGCGTGGCGATCTTGTACATGCGGACGGCAGTTTTGAATTTGTTCTTCAGGTTGATGGTCCGCGTATTGTTCTTGCGTGGATGAATGAATGCGTGGAAAGATTTCGGCTACGTACGTATGGCTGGCGTTCGGTTCGTGCCGAGTTGAAAGGTCTGAAGTTTGATGCTGGTGAAGATGATGGGACCTTGCTTGAGGGTTGACACCTCCGGCGGCGCGGGTATGCGAGCGGGGAGTTTGTTCCGGGGAGATGGGATGGGATGAGGATGGGGTGGACGCACGAGGCGGGTGGCCGTTTGGGGGGACGGCGATGGCGCGCGTTTGCGTGGATGATGTTGGGTTCCTGTTCTTGGGAAGGCTTGGTTATTGTGTTGGTTTGCTTGTCGAAGTGTGGTGTTGTGGTTCTTGTGTTGCCGTTGAGCTTGGTCATGGGGATAGGACATGTGGTTTGCTTGTGGATGAGACGACGAACACATGTTCGATGACACAAAATCGATGATTGCCATGACGGTGAAGTATCTTAGACGACTGTGTAGGTCACAGTGCCTTCTTGTCCAGGTTCTTGAGCCCTTGGCTGAACGTTGAAGTAGTCCGGAGACGATGGCCTCCGGACAAGTCTCTCCGCCCCTGAGAACGGTGCCGCTTGAGGTGGGACCATCTACGATGGCCAAGAGCCGACGCCTCTGGTCCGATGCCACTTGGAGCGGAGCTCTTCATTGAACTTTGACTCTCTGTATGCTAGTGCCGAAGTTCAAGTTGAACTGTTGTTGGTTTGGGAGCGATTCTGGACGGTCCTTCGTGGCATGGCACGGTTGAACGCAAAGCCTTATGCTAAAAGTCATCTCGAGAGCTTCAGACAGGGGCCGTGAATCAACTTCATTCTGGTTTACGACAGCCTTTTTTGTCAGGTACAGTCGAGATTCGTGTCCTCGTAGCTTCCAGACACGTTCTTTGTGAAGGTGGAACGGCTCCTAGGCCTTGAACGCCCAAAGGCTCAAGACCCATAGCTGCCTCTGTGGTGCCAGAAACTGTCCTTCGATTTTCAATCGTACACTGAGATGATTCTATTGCGCTTTATCCTGGGCTGGTGATGTAGTAGCCATATCCGAAAGCATCCAGGGGGTCTATGAACGTCATCGGGCTCAACCCCCCCCCCCCCCCCCATCGCCTCAGAACTCGGGTAGCTTCTGCTCCCTCCGCAAGCTATGCTTCGCAGCCAGGGAAATAGCATCTGTAGATGGACTATCAGCGTCGACTTCCAGCAGAGCCTCGAGAAGTCAGGGCCAGTCTTCCCAAACCGACTGAGTAATTGCCAAAACTGACCTGTGGCCAAACGTGGAAAGGACCCTACAAAATCGAAAATATTACACGCAACCTAAGGGCCAGGCTCCCAATTATCCTCGGACAGAGCACTCGAGCTTCAGAAGATCAGAGTAGCGTCCCGCATGGCTTTGATCGGTGGTGCTGCAGCGATACATGTTATTCAGAAGAATTGAAAGGGTCTCTGTGATATCCGAGACAGCAGCAGAGGGACCTCAAGTGAGCCACCTTGGGCTCCGTCTGTGAACTGGAGGCCACTCTCACACTGCGCCGAGGAGTTTTGCAAAGCCAACTCGATGGCAATAAATCACGCGCGTGTATTTCACTGTCTTTCTCACTGGAGCTTGATGTTTCTCGGCATGACTAACCCATGATTTCCGTGGCGACCCCCGACCATGGTTCACATACCACGACCGTGGCACATGAATGGCTGGCCCAAATTGCCGAAACGGGATTCGACTCTTCTCCTTTCCAACAAGACAGCCATCATCTGGAATGCTTTCTCGGATCGATTGGGCTGGACTGGGCTGAGCTGGGCTGGGCTGGGCCAGCCAAATCTCAAGGCGGCAGGCTGGATTTGTGGAGGAAGGCGGGAGGCTGAGGGCAGCAAGGACACCGCCCGAGGAGCGGACTCCAAGAAGGAGGTCTCGCGATACAGAAGAACGCAGAGTAGGCGCAGTGGCTAGAGGGACTCGCATATGGCTATGCTGGTATTTACCGAGAACCCTCCTGCCTTTGGCATCAAGAAGGCAAGGCACTTGGAAAGTGGCTCAGGCTCACCCATGACTGCCCTCCTAAGAGATATGTCCACCTTCCGCGATGGTTCATTGTTTCCACCTTCCACTTTCCCAAGGGGCCGAGACGATGCAACGGCATATACCCCATGAGCGTCGGGTGCCTTCCACCTTGACTGGTTCCTGTCGCTTCACTCCCCACGGCAGTCGCTTCTTGCCTTGCCATGGCCAGTATCGCCGACGCGGTTGCTTTGGTCGATGCCCTCTTCCCCTTCTCCATAGAGTGCTTCTTTCCTCCAACCTCGTTATCATAAGTCTCTTGGCCAATCATCTCTCCACTGGGGATCCTCGTACCTTCCTGTCGGCGGTTTCTCTGCCTCTTCCGACGTCATGATGCCTTCCCTGAAGCCTCTCGACACCACACATGGAAGGCAGCGTTAGGCCTCCTACTGCAGGAAGTCTCGCCGATCGTCTGCAACAGGTAACCGCGAGCCCTCTCGATGGCAAGGCGATGGATTATAAACAACCGCCCCCTACCCCGCCAGTCCCCAGATCTCTCCAACTTCATCTCTCACATCCCCCAACCATCTTACCTTTTTGCAGCATCAACCACACAACAAATCTTCTACCACAGCAGCTTCGTCTTCCAACCTTCGTCTGCCGGCCCTCATCAGCCGAGCCTCATCTTCCAACCCTCTTTTGCCCAACGTCTGCTTCCAAGCTCCACAGACGGCAGCACGGCTCTTCGAGCATCACCCACACAACGCCCACCATGGTCAAGCTCGCTCTGTGGATGCCCTTGCTCTCGCTTGCAGCCTTCGCTGTGACAAGTCCCGTCCATAGTTCCCCTGACGGCAGAGACTTGAAGTCACCAGACAGCCACCCTGAGAGCCTTTCTGACCAGAAGGAGTTCATCAAGTCCGCGATTTCACTAGGCTTCCCCATTGCCTCCAGTACAGCCATCCAAGTCATCGACTCTTTCCCTCAAGAAGTCACCGACCGCGTCTACGCCGACCTCGACAAATTAGGTATCGCACGCGTCGTCGAAGATGGCACCGACGACAGTGACCACGCGAACGAAACGGCTGACTCTGGGATCAGAGACTTGAGGTCACTAGACAGTGGCGCTGAGAGCAGTCCCGACAAGAAAGCGGTCATCAAGTCCGTCGTTTCACATGAAATCAACGAGGTCGCCAGTCGAGTCATCAAATTCGTTGATGATGCACAAGAACCCCTTCAACTTGTCGCCATCGACCTTGTCTATGTCGTCCTCAAACACATCCTCAAATTGATTGGAATGGAAAATGCTCTTACCACGGGCGATTCCGCCCTGGCCCCTGTGTTCGAAACATTCAACAGTGCCACGGAATTGATCAAACAAATGATCGCAAGCAACTTCGGGATCGACTTGACACAGGCGTTCCACGAAGCCATCCCTGAGGGCGTCATGGAGAAGTCCTCTGCAGACTCCAACGACAACAACGACACCCGCGAAGTTGAAATCACCGCAACGGAAGCCCACTCTTCATCCTTGGTGGAGGAATGTGCGCCCGGGCACAAGCTGCATGACTCCTGCGCGTCAGAGGGAAGGCGGTGTCTCGGCTGGGATACGCGAGGGCGGTGCGTAAAGTGGTCTTGCCACTGCGTGAAGCAGAAAAGAGGCCTTTTCTGGAGCAACTCCGGGATCGATACGAGCAGTTCCACCAGAGCTTCCGAAGACATGATCACCGACGGTGCCGTCGACAGTCAGCTTCACGTTGCAAAGCCGTGTTCACCTAGATGGGAGAGACTTGAAAGGTGCGCCAACAAGACCTGCCTCCATTGGGGACCAGTGGGTTGCAAAGAATGGGTGTGCCCCTGCGTACGCAGGCCTTGATTTGGCGGTTGGATGTTGCGAGGGTGATTGCTCGAGTATCGGCAGGTACACTATGGAGAGACGATGCGCTCATGACCTAGGAAACCCGTAATTATTAGTGCAATCATTGTTTCCAATCCTCAAGATCATGGTGACCCAAAATGTCCGGATGATGCTCCTTGCTCCAAAAGAAACCTTGAACTGTTGTTGCAGGTGACGTCTGGATCGCTGAGCTTGCGGCTGCAGGCACCCCTGCTCGGGATGTGCCGAAGGGTGGGTCCATATGGAGGTGAGGTCCGGCGTCAACATCAACGCCAACTTCAACCTAACCAACTCCTACTCCTCGCGAGCAAACACACATGTGCTTTGGAAATCTGCAGAAAACATCCCAGACCATAAAACCAAGCTGCAATGGTTCGTCTACCTTCCCCCAAACCCTCCAGACCCACTTGCCGAAAGACTAACCTGTCCGCTCTCTCCCAACCAGAACAAGGACGCAAGCCATACGTACGTGCACATGCACCGCGCGCGCGACGCCGACCTGTTTGAGGACTTTTGCAAGGACAGGCTGCCGGACGACGAGGTGTACGTGCCGCCGCAGCACCAGCCGATCAACCCGGAGGACGAGGACGACGTGGTGCCGGACCAGCACGCGGCGTTTGGCATCACCAAGGCGACGCAGCGGCAGAAGGAGGCCGCGTGGAAGGATCTCGGGCTGTCGGGCTTGATGAACCGCGGGCCGCCGATCGTGAAGGGCAAGGGTGTTGCGGGGGGTAGCCGGATGCCGCGGTGAGGGGGTAGTGCTACAATGGCGAGATGATGGGGAGGGTGGTGGGATGGCGTTATGGTATACCCGGACATTGTTTTTGACCCATGGATTGAGGATGGAGGTACGATGGCAGAAGTTCCTGTACAGTGGCTCTCAAGGGTAGATTACGCTGTGACGGGCAGAGTTTGAGATTGAACAGTTTTATTCATCAACGCAGAGAACATGCTACTCGCGACTGTGCCATTCAAATAACCCCAGTGATGATGTGGCCATCTGCACAAGTAAAATAACAACGCAAAACCCATCGCCGAAAACGCCGCCCATGCCCCATGAACGCCATCAAAACAACCGCACTTCTCCTCTTCCCCCAAGCACCACCCAGCCCATCTAGCTCTTGCCCAAATACCCCTCCCTCTCCAACACCTCGGGGCGGAACTTGACCAAAAACACGGTCATGCCGAGCCACATCTCCTTGTCGTCTTTCAGGTTGTGCGCGCTCACGCGCGCGGGGAAGCCGGCGCCGTCGCAGAGGCCCTCGACGATGCCGGCCATGAAGGCGGCGCAGTTGAGCTGGGACAGCTCGCGGGGGACGCTGACGTAGGCGTTGACGAGGGGCTCGTTGTCGATGATCATGTACTCGTCGGGCTTGGCGGGGTCGGCGCTCTTCTCGAGACGGTCGGCCTGGCGGCCGAAGAGGTGCTGCCAGGCGGACTGCTTGATGAAGTGCAGCAGGTTGATGATTGTGAGGGGCCGCAGCTGCGTGCGCGGGGCTTCGCGGAAGAGGAGGAGGTCGAGGAGCTTGAGGCCTATTGAGTGGCCTTGGACGTTGAGGCTGGGGGGTGGGGATGTTAGCTGTGGACGAGAGAGAGAGAGAGAGAGAGAGTGGAGATGGGGATTGGGGGCAGGGAAGGGGAAAGGCAGGGCGTACCGTTGCTCGAGCTCGGAAATGTCCTTGACGTTGCGCTGGGCGTACGAGACCATCTCGCTGAAGAGGTAGGCGAAGCTGGCCTGGCTGAGCTCCGCGGTCTTGGTGCGGTTGAGGGGGCGGTGGTAGATTGTCTTGCCGTTGGAGGGGTACCGCAGGCCCGGCGTCTCCTTGCCGGGGACGCTCTTTGTCGTTTGGATGTTTGCCATTTTGTTCTCTTGGCTATTTTTTTTTTTGTGGACGGTTGCTGTTATGGAAATGGCATTGGGCGTGTCGTGCCGTATCGTGGAGGTTAATTGCTTGATGCGAGCTGTCCGGAAATCCTGGACTTCGACAGTGCGCTCGCGCTAGGAGTGACGTTGGAAGGCTGCAAGGGTTTTTGGGGTAGCTTATGTCGTCGTGGCGGTCGGGCGCGCTGGGGAATTTGGGGCGGTTGGTGCAGCCTTATCGGCGATTAGATAAGAGCTGGGATCTCAACGTCTCACGTTGAACGGTGACAATCCATTCGAACGATTGATAAACGTTTGTGAGGGACATCGCTGTTTCGTAGGTTATTACATTACGTAGAATAACGTACGCAGGCTATATCCATCAAAAAGCTTTGAAACGGTTCTTTTGATTTCCCTCGACGCATTACCCCAGGCGTTTATCGCCCTGTCTATAGATACTGAATACTACCAAATATATGACTGAAAGAAGTTCTGTCCGTCCTTTTGAAATATTGTTGAAGAAAATCAAGCAGCAGCCTTCGTCTCGGCCGCCTCAGCACCCACGCCCTTCTCGGCAGCACCGCCAAGGTAGTCCTCCGACTCGCCAATCAGCTTGCCGCCAGAGACCCAGCGCGCCGTCCTGGCGTCGCGCTTCTCCTTGCACATGGCGTTGAGGGCGGGCCAGTAGACGTCGTGGTCGTACTCGAACTCGAGCTTGCCGTCGCTGAACTCGGTCCACAGCTGCTCCTCGGGAACGTACTGCTTCATGTCCTCGTTGAACTTGAGCTTGTCGCGCGTCATGGGGTCAATGAAGGGCGTGATGAGGCGGAAGAAGCCGTTGACAACCCACGGGACTGTATTTTCATATTAGACACAGCCATGCAAGATAAGAAGTGACATGAACATACCGTTGATGATGAGGGCCTTGCCGAGACGCTCGGGGTAGTGCGTCTGCAGGATGTGCAGCACCTCCCGCGCGAGGCCGATGCCGGGGGCGGTGTTGCCGCGGCTCTTGGAGGTCTTGAAGTTGATGAGCAGGGCGAGCTTCTCCTGGCCGGCGGGCATGACCTCGATGACGCGCTCGAGCATGAAGACGAGGTGCTGGACCTGGCGCGGCGACGGGTCCGTGTTCTGGCGGCCCGGGTTGAGGTAGTGGCAGGGCCGGCGCTCCTTGTCGAAGCCGAGGATGATCTGCTTGCCCGTCTCGTTCTCGGGCGAGATGTGCTCCGGGGTCAGGGCCTCGACGCCGTACTCGCGGCGCCAGGCGAGCGTCTCGAGCAGGCGCCTCTCGGCGTCCTTGGTCACCCACTTGGTGGCGCGCAGGTAGCGGAGGAGGCACTCGCGGGTGAGCCACTGGCGCTCCGAGTCGGTGAGGGGCCCGGACTTGTCGGCGTGGGCGGCGGTCGGGCACTTGACCTCGGACCAGGCGCGGGCCTGGGCGAGGAGGGCGTCGTACTTGGACTGCTGGTCGGGGGTCAGGGGCGTGAGGGCCGGGGTGGAGGAGGCCGGGACGGGGGCGGCGAGGGGCGTCTTGCGCGGGCCGGCGGCGGGCGCGGAGGATTTCTCCTCGGGACCGGGGTAGGCCGGGGGTGGTTGATCGGCGACGGCGGCCATTTGCGGCGAAAGGGGGGATGAGTGCTCGGGGGGTGTTGCGGTTGTTGCGGGTTGGGGGGCGGTAGTGGCTCTGTGCCGCGCGGGGGTACCTCAAGGGAAGGGTGTGATCGGACGTGTTTGACCCGGCTTTGACCTGACTTTGTCTGTGGGAAAGGGATCTGCGGGGAGGGGAGGGGGGCGTGTTGAGTTTGCAAAATGGCACGTTGCGGTTCGTGTCGTGTCGTGTCGTGTGGTGGGTGAGCTGCTAAAAGTCGCTACGTTGATGGGAAAGGGGTCCGCGGACCGAATGGGAGTAAGGGCCTTGTGTACAGAGTACTTGGGTAGGTACTTGTGAAGTTTGTCAATCCTCGAGGTCTTTAGCAGGTCTCAGAACTCGGGAGGAAGAGGAACAGAGAGAAAGAGGTTGGGCGTTGACTCTGACTGAGTGAGATACTTTTTGGGCGCTTCTCACACCGCCAGAATTCAATTCTAGATGGATTTCGTGCTGACGCGGTAGTGAAATCCCGGTACGGTGCGTTGAGATGAAATGAGGTGAGCCCATGCCGGGAAGCTCAGTTCCGGGCGATAGTGTCCGCACCAAGACCCCAAGGGTCCCGCTGCCGTGCCTTGCGTCGCCCAAAGTTCCTCTCTAAAGAGTGATACTGTGACCTTGACGTGCTGAGGATCGTCACTGGAAAACGGGACTTGGGTATCTCAGAGAGAATTATTGATGCATGATGGATCGGGTGCATCTGGGGAAGAAACACTGCAACCTCATATGCTCTGACTAAGATGATCCTTCCAATGGTGCAGATGGATGGACTTGTGTGTTCCAAGGTACAGCCTCCCGTCTGCTGTGCTCTGCAGATGCCGCCGCCAAGCAGCAGCTCAGGGACCAAAAACCGTTGAAATCCGATTTCTGGGAGGTGCAGGACCCTGTTGTCGCCTGCTGCATGCTGCAGCTGCAGTGTCTCGGCAAAACCCGCGCTAGACCGGATAAAGAGGGCACCGGTTACAATGCTGCCCGCTGCTGCAACTCACACTTTGGTGGAAGGAAGGAGTCCGCTGAACAACAAGATCGCTTCCTCCCTTCCTGACCTGAAGATTGAGTGGTGATTCGGTACGTACTCCACGAGAGATCCAGCCAATGACGCCGGCGGCGAGTTTTGCGGAGTGGTCGCGACTTGAAACCTCGGATCTTCATCAACCTTCAAGACAGCCCGTCACCCGCAGGCCTTCCGACGACGGACGAGTGCCCTTCCTGTCTCTCATTGAGTCATTGCAGCTGCCATCTTCTCGCGGCCTGTCAATGTCAACAGCGCCCAAACCAAGGACATCCAGGGCCAGCACCGTCTGTCACTACGTACGACATGCAGAGACGAACCTACCCACCATCACCACCACCGCCATGATGGCACATCCACCACAACCATATCACCACCCATGTCCGATATGATGGCCATAACGGCACGGCATACACTACAACCTCGCTGTACATGCCACGCAGTAAGACATCACTACCATAAACATCAACATGAACGAGCCACCGACCGCTTGTTTGGGTCCAGCAGGCGTTATCTGTCGCTTCCGAAACCCGCAACCAAAAGCCCAACGATCATCCGCCTCCCCGCTGGCCGGCTGCCATCGCGTGGTTTCAAGTCAAGAATAACCCATCTCGATAAAAAGATGGAAGCAAGCCGCAAGAAACACACGTACCATTGGGTCGGCCGGTCCCTCGGGCTTCCGTGTCCGTGGCTGGGCGACTGATCACGCTGGTCCTTCCCAACTGCCCGGAACGCCAACCATCCGAGCCTGTGGCTGCAGCCGAGCGTCTGGCTTCTCTCCCTCCCGAACACCAGCGCATGCGGCCCTTGTCACGTAGTGTCAACCGCTGCGTCCATGGAAGGTAGTCCCCACTACCGTCCGTCCCTCCCTTCCCGAACGATGGAAAGCCTGAGCTCGGTTCTTCGTTTCCGAACCATGGGCCATCCCTCCAAGCTTCCACACCACATCAGACACACCACCACCACAATGACTTCCACCTGCCATGTACACAACTACACCGGATACACCAAGCAACAACAAGCGTCGTCTAGTCCAATCACCCTCCCGCCCAAATATGCATCCTACACACAAACCATGAACTCATCCCATCCGTGCGGGCACGCGCCGTCGTCCCACAATGCCAGAAACTTTGGATCCCAGAGACCACTCTTCCTGTGACTGGCAACCGCCCTTTCCGTTCCACCCTTCATCGTAGTCGCATCCGTTCTTAAGGAAGACATCTCGGGAGAGCCCTGTCTTCCTCTTGTCGGCTCATGGACGGATCGTCGTCACATCAACCCGCCCCCCTTCCTCAAGTGTCCCTCCCCGCCGACGAACGAGTCCTTTTCAGCCGTTGTAGCCCCTTCGGGAATTTGAGTGTCCATCACTGATCGACGCGGCTCCCGGTCTTGAAAAGAACCGGTACCGTAACCCGCCGCAGAGTATATTTCCCGGATCGACCGCCAGGATTCAACCTCTTTTCGCATCCGGATGTTTCACCGCCCCAATCATACCTCCTTCGCCCGTCAGCTCCAAGTCGCACCGAGAGAGAGAGACTCAGAGACTGAGAGCTTCTTAAAGCAACCATGGTCACCCTCCTCCCTTCCCTCTGGCCATGCCCAGATCTCAAGAAAGTCTCTCTCCACGCCCCCGAGAACCTGTCTTCGTGGTTCAACATGCCGTTCTCTACCTACCTCGTCCAGGCCTCCGTCGCGGCCCTGCTCGTCGTCCTCGGCGTCCACATGCAGACCACCGCCGCCCAGGTAACGCCGCCGACCTGCACAAACGTCGACCAGCCGAACCCCCTCTGGGCCCAGCACCCGAACAACGCAACTGGCGTGCTCAACGTCACCATGGCCATCTTCCCGATCCCCATGGCCGCCGCGCGCCAGATGGTCCCCTTCGCCATCCTGGAAAACAACCTCCGCGCCGTGATGCCAGACTTCCCCGCCGGCATGTACCCTGTCGTCGTCCAGGCCGGACACGACCACGACATCCGATTCCAGGACTTTGGCATTCCTGACTTCAGTGTAAGACCTTACCTGGCCCCCGAGACATTCTTCTGTAAAGCCACTCACTGACACACTTTGGCGCACAGAAAGCTGGATACGAGTTCCCCTTCCTGGACCTCCTCGGCGACGGCACCTCCAACTTCCGCTGGGCCCCGGAGCAGCTCATCTCGGAAACCAACCCCGCAGCCGTCACCGGCTCTCAGGCCTACGGCACCACCGTCCACGCCGCGACCTTCGCCCCGGACTGCAACGCCTACAGCGCCCTCTCAACCTGCAGCGGCAGCACCTACTTCAACGGCTCCTCCGCCGCGGGCGACAAGCGCATCTCCCTCGCGATGCGCCGCGCTGCGGAGCAGCAGCCGATCCCGTACACGCTGTCCATGTTCGACAGCATCATCAACCAGCCCATCTTCGCCAACGGCACCGCCTGCGACCAGCAGATCCGCCTCTTCAACACCTCCCTGTCCCAGGGCGCCTTCGCGCCCGTCCCCGTGCGCGGCACTGTCCGCTCCAGCCTCGGCCCATTCCCCGCCGACGCAACGTTTGGGGATGTGGCCGGCTTCCAGGTCGCGACGCCGTTCATCGAGAACAACTACCTCCCGTGCGATATGTTTAGAGGATACAACCCGGTTAAGACCACCTGATACCCCCTCACTGCAATGTTTAATGTTTTCTTCTTATTCGTTTTCGGAGTTTTGTGTTGGGCCAGCCGACCTGAGAGTTGGAGATGGAGTGGCCCGGACCTTTTATGAGCTCACGATGGATATGACCCCGTATATATTCATACCTACACATATAGGGAGCTGGATCGCGCGCTGCAGCTGCTCCCATGGAACGTAATACATGAATGCAGGCCTGGTGGTCTTGCTATTTCTCTCCACAAAGGCCTCTTGAATTTGTGAGAATTAACTTGGAGGTCTGTGGTGACTTGCACAAACAAGGCAAGCTTGCTTCTTTTACACGAGACACCACCCAGATGCCCAATAAATGGCGTTTAACATCTCATCACGTAGGAGAGAGCTATCGCCTGTGAATGTGGCTGACATTTACGCAGATGTAATGCCAGCTTTTGACCTATCGTGTCACTCCCAACTTTCGAATCTGGACTCACGTGCTTTGAGGCCTCTGGCGGGCAATGTGAGGTTTACATAGTATGGACTCGTGCCGTACCTCACGAGAGATACCTCTTCACGTGTGGGCGATGGTCAGGGCCTCAATCAATGAAGCAGGCTTGGTGATTGTAATGAGTCGGACTGGCTTGGGAGATGGGACGCCGGTTCCCGAACACCGAAAGTCGGTCCAAGTCAGGAGCGCGAAGATATCCGCCCTGCTGCTAGTATCTGGAATTCACGGCCCGAAGTTGGAAGATCTCGGATCACTGATGGAGTTGAGAAACGCAGTGAGCTTGTTGGCCTTCACCCGGATATGGTTCAAGTGGTGTTTTCGCTGAGATTAGTCGTATCAGTCTGAGAATGCCACGCAAGGAGATGATCAGATAATGGTTATGCAATGCCGCGAATGTCGTGTTGCTAACAGCCGGCCTTTTCCGAGAAGGGGAGAAGAGACGCTGCATCAAGGAACAGGACGGCAAAGGGCTCGCATCCTAAGATTGAATTGACCCAAGAAAACAACAGCCGTTTCTTTCTCTACTTCCACCGGGCAGCAGTGGTTCTGTATGGTTTGCACAGAGAAGGCTTCCGAGAACTGCCACCGATCCTGATGAGATTCAAGGGTCATGAACTTGACTTGAGAGAGTCAATGGACTCGGAGTTGGTTTCCGACCTTACTTGCCATGTGTCGGCCATGCTATTGGATAACGCCTTTCTCCCGACCGACCAGGGGTTCAAGCCATCAAAGCTGTCAGCCACAACCCGTCGCTTCAACTTGCGCATCTTGAGATGATGTGCGCCTTGGCACTGACCAAGATCGATGGGGAGTCGCGCATCATCCCATTGACTTTTTGGG